TGCATAGTACTTATTCTGCTGGTTTGGTGGGGCCATGGCTTCAGCTTGAAGGCAATAGTCACACTAGCTAGCTGCGCAACCAAAATGCTGCACAGCTGCTAACCCATGCCAACAGCTATTTGCAGCGCAGCCCTCTCAAGTGGCTAAATCTGCAACACACCTATCTCAATTGCCTAGGTTTAAAAAAGAACGCGTCGTGTCCACTAAACTTTACCCACATGCATGTTTTGCATGCTCATATTTCCACAAACCTTGACCAATCACAGCACTGCAGTGGGCAGGCAGGCACCTCCCCAATGTTGAACCAGTCCACCACTGCCAGTACTTCCAGAAGCTTGGAAACCAGTAGGCCCTTGCCCACCAGCGGGTGCACCATCAGCTAGTGCTGACCGAGCCTTCTCAGCTCGGTGAGCTGCTTTGGCGCGTTTCATGGCATGCTTCTAGCCAACTCAAATCAAAAAAACACTTGATTGCTGCATGGTCTACACATGTCTACACTACTGAATGCGGGAACTTCCAGTTTCTGTCCAAAAGATGTCTGAATGATGACATCAAGCCATAATTGTACTTAACATTATTGGCCAAAATGGCCCTGTGAAGCCTCAGAATGCAGGTCCGACACATCCGACAAACGCATTTCCGACAATGTCGGTGCTATTCTTGGTCATCAGACATGACCTCAAATTTTGAGGTCATTTCTATTTTACACCTATTGATGGTCATGGATCCTCAGGGAGTTGTTGGTCGAGACACCAAAGCCACTAGAAAATGAGGAACACACCCTAAAGACCAAGAACCCATCATTTTCTACTAAATTGGTCTGGCTGGATACCCCACCTTTCCATTTCTGGCCAGAGTGCCAGAAACGGAACGGTAGGGTATGGCAGTGTCTGAGGATTTGGGTGTACCTTGTCAAAGCCACTAGAAAATGATGAACCTCACTAGAAAATGAGGATCACGGTGGGATCAAGAAAACAAGGTGATGTCTAGAAAATGACCCTGCCAGCATGCCTATGAGACCTGTGATCCTCATTTTCTAGTGACCTACATGTCACTAGAAAATGCAATACCTGACCCCTTCCTGGTGAGTTTACCTCCTTGAGACTAAAGAATGCCCGTTTTCTACACACGTCAACCCCTCTCATTTTCTAGTCCGAACATCATGGGGGTTATATAAGTGTATATATAACTAGAAAGTCAAAAAACAAGTGGAAATTGCAAGAATAAGCAAAGAGTCCCGTTAACGAGATAATGCTATAATGCTACACGGCAGAACTACAGGATGGCAACCAATGATCACAAATGACAGTTCTGTTGATGCTCGGGAACTGCTAATAAACTTCCGCAACGAATCTTGCGCATGTGCATGCGCCTGCGAATATGAAGGGGCTGTGGGCCCTCCTAGTCACTGCCTAGTGGCGATCAGCAAATGGACCAGCAAGAAAAGTCGTGCAGCACTGACTTTGGACCAACCATCAAAAAAATGCTCCTTGGGTCGAAGGCAGACTCTGTCAGAAAGAGAACTCTGTACACTAGCTTTGTGCGACTCTGAATTCGACTAAACAGGCATAGCATCTTCGAAATCCGTTGCCAATCTGAGGTCGACATAGCCTGGACATGCAGGGCATGCACAACTGTGCGAGCTTGTAGAAATTTGTAGAATGGGCTACAGGGACAGCAAGCAATAGAGATGGCAAAGGCCGTATGATGCAGCAAAGTTGCGAGGTACTACGGCAGTCAAGTAGAAGCCATTGCCAGATACCGTAGTGACCACCATTCCCAACCAGTTCCTTAGCACCCGTCGACACAACTCTCCCACGGGGTGCCACTGATCAGTACACGAAACTTTTTCGCCATTATTACTGTACATTATGTGAACCAAAGTGGTCTTGCCGAAGCACCGCCAGACTTTGGGTGGACTCCTTGCATGTGAGGCTGACGTGCATGAGAAACTGTCGAGACAAGTTCCATCCATTTGTTCTGAGCAAGTGCCACACTTCAATCACAGGAAATCGATCCAAGTCACCGAGACAAGCCCACCAATGCACCAAACTGAGACGTCAGCAAGAATATTTCCTAGAGCCCAGCAAGAATGACAGTATAATAAACAACAAATGCAAGCACATGCATTGAACAATTGCTTTGCGAGGAACTACTGCAAAGTTGACATGCCTTCCTTTTAGCATCGTATTGTAGTATAGGAATCCCACCTGACAGTTCTGTCATGCGCTGATTTTAAGCGCTCGTGACGTGGCAGATCGTGTCCAGGCCTCTTTGGCAGAGAAAACTCGATCTCCAATCGTCAACGATGTGTCCCAGCAAATTAGAGAATCGAAACACAGGTCCACAAGCTCGCAGCCAGTGGCCAGTCCGAGAACGGCCTCAAGAGGGGAGACACCAAAAGAACCAAACAAGTTCCTATTTCAACCCCCCGAATGCCCTTTTGCATCAATTCCACCGAAGTGGGAACGCCCAATGCAAGCGAGAGTGTCGTACTCATGTATGGCTAATCCATGCTAATCCTGCGTGCTTGCGTGCGCTTGCGTGCAGTCCTGGCTGCAGGTTCTTGCTCACTCTCTAGCTTGCTCATTTGATTGACCTTCCTTGTCACGGCCTGTTGCTTATTGATGCCTATTGAAGGATGTCAGCTATGCAAACTTCCTTTAGCTTTGCCTGTCTTTCTCTTATCTTTCTGTGCTAAGAAATGTCAAAAAGGCTCAAGTTGTTCTGGCTCTCTCTCTCTCTCTCCACTTGCTGTTCTTGGCTATTAATTGCTCTTCTACATGCTGCTCTTGCTATGCACTTGCTTTCAAACGATCATAGGATATCATGGGTAACATTCCAGGCAAGAGACAAGTCCCATTGAAGGCACAACAGTAGGATTCAATCGCGGGCTTAGCAGTGGAAAGCACACCTTGGCTCATGGCCACTGTGTGGCGAGAACTGCACTTCCCGGCAAGACCTGTAGACTCGAGATACAGAAAAGGTCCAAAGAAAACTTGCAAAAATAAAAAAGAACGGTATACAAACTCTTTTCCCTTGCCTGCGGAAGGACAAAAGGAAGAAAAACACTGTTACCAGAATGTTTCGGCATCTTGGCTCTGCGAGCTGATGCTGAGCTGACGCTTCTGACGTTTGAAAAGCGTTTTGGAGCTTAGTCACCAGATGTGCCACAACCACAAGTAGCGAGTCGACCTTGTACGGGCCAATATGATTGATGCATGTGGCATAAGGAAGTGGTCTTGTCCCGAGCAATTGCTAATGGCTACATTGCACACTACGCATATTGACCACTTTGAATCATCTCTGGTGAGGATTTCACAACGGCAAGCGACGGCAAGCGCAGCAAGCCGAAGGCCAAAACGGCCAGAACACCAAAGAAACACATGCACTAACACCCCAAGTGGATGAGTCAAGTAGCCACATCGACCATGAGGCCATATCGTCCATACAACGTAAAAGCCACAAGCGACAAAATCCAGGCAAGCCTTGCATGACTTTTGAGCAAATGCACGCAAAGTCATACAAGGAACGCAAGCCGTAAGCTGCATTCCCGGCTGCAAAGTGTTCGGGCGCAACGTGGTGCAACCAAGGGGCAGCAAATGCCTCTCAGGAACGAGAGGAAGTTTCAAACCTCAGGACAAAACCACCCACTGAATTGATTTGTGCAAGTCATTTCCGTCACGCATGTGCGAGTACTAAACTTGAACGAAAAGCTGTGGCCAACAAGACTATGATAGTGATGTGAGGGCAAAATGATTGGACCTGTATAATGCAAAAAGAACGAAAAAATAAACGCGGCCTGCTGAGCTGTGACAATAAATTGACATGAGAACTCTGAAGCACTGAAGGCGCTGGCCTCCATCGCTTTTAGTAACTCAGCAACTAGGAACTAGGAGCAAGGACGCTACTGGGGGCTCCTGGCCCTACTACTAGGAGCAATGTTCGCTACTAGGAGCAAAGGGCATCGCTACTAGGAGCAAGGACGCCTATGCTGAACTTGAATTAAAATATATGGGATAAATGAGGTTTCAGACCTGAGGCGATGAACCGCCACCTTCACTCGTCAATTGGGCGCACCATCAGGATTATTGAAATGAGATTAGCAAATGAGCTCAGAACTCGAAGTTTGGAAGACGAGGGGAAGTTGCGCATGTGAGGCATGAAATGTCATGAAATGTCGAGATGGGAGCGGGCTAAAGCGGCTAGTGGAATGATGCTGCCCCTTGCACGGCAAAGGAGGGTTCCCTCCACACGGGGGGACAGCAGCTGGGAAAGTGGGTCCACCAAGCATATGGATGAGCTGCAGGACTCCATTGGAAGTTCAAGAGTGAAAAGAGATGCAATGATTCAGAGAAATGAGATCATACAGACTGAAATGACAACAAGAAGCCACATAACATATACAGTATGTCACATAATTATACAACTCACACAGGAGAAGTGATGTAGAAAACAGCGAACAAAAACATGAATATCACCGCTATACACTGCACACTTGATGCATTGGCAGCTCAACATCATTGAACCGGATTTGACCCAACTTTGGAAAGTTCCAATCATGAAGAACAAAGAACTTCATGACCCAGCGGCTTTGAGTTGTATCCACTGACATCACGAGGCGCCTTGATGATCTGATGAGAAGTGCAACAAACATTTCGGCTGTGCTGTTGCGATTTATTGCGCACTTCAGTCTACTCAGAGCCACGCCTGCACTTCAGCAGCAGCGAGGCGGAGAAAGTCTCATGCAACTTTCATTTGAACCGGCGTCAATGCTGCGTGTACGATGCATATACACATGCGCTCCCAAAGTGGAAGCGAAAGACCCTGGTGGTAGGGGATGCGCTTCCAAAGGATTCCAAAGGACTGGGTTCCACTTCCATCATTGGTACCGAAATGTTCCAAGGGATTATCGTATTTGCAGCAGTGACGTTGCGACATAAAATGACATGAATCTACGTCAGCATGGAACGGTAAAGTCTGAATGCTTGGGCCCCAGCCGCTGCACAAGTCTCCCTTCTTGAAACTCTGCCATAGCCGCCAGCGAAGATAAGAACCAGCAATCTCCCAACCTCAACATATCTCATGACATCTCATGACGCATTTATATACGTGTATATACTTAAAAGGTTCTTTCATATGGCAAGGCCATAATCATTGATTAAAGAACAGTCGAAAAAAAAAAGGTCCAAAAACAGTCAAATGGTCAAAGTAAAAAAAGTCAAAACTGTCAAAAATAAATCGCAACTCAAACAATTCAACAACAAGTCAAACAAACATCACAAAAAGAGTCGGAACAAAATTACTTTACTTTGAGAGATCCCCACCATGGCATTTCAATCATTTGTCTTGATGCCATAGTGAGGAGCATGTTGCCATGGTCGTGAGTATTGTAGTTCTCGATTTTGCTTCTGGGTCCTCCGGTTGTGTGCTGTGGTTGTGTGTTGTGGTTGTGGTTGTGTGCTCTGTTGTGGTTGTAGTTGTGTTTGTGGTTGTGTTTGTGATTGTGTGTTTGTTGTTGTGTATGTGGTTGTGTGTTTGTGGTTGTGTTTGTTGTGTTTGTGGTTGTGTTTGTTGTTATGTTTGTGGTTGTGTTTATGGTTGTGTGCTTGTGTTGTATGTTTGTGGTTCTGTGTTTGTGGTTGTGTTTGTAGTTGTGTGTTTGCGGTTCTGTGTTTGTGGTGTTTGTAGTTGTGCGTTTGTGGTTGTGTGTTTGTGGTTGTGTGTTTGTGGTTGTGGTTGTGGTTGTGTGTTTGTGGTTGTGCTTGTGGTTGTGTGTTTGTGGTTGTGCTTGTGGTTGCGGCTGCGATTGTGTTTGTTGTTGTGTCTGTTGCTGTGTTTTTGTGGTTTGTGGTCGTGTGTTTGTGGTCGTGTTTTGTGGTTGTGTGTTTGTGGTTGTGTTTGTAGTTGTGTGTATGTGGTTGTGTTTGTGGTTGTGTGTTTTGTGTGTGTTGTGGTTGTGTGTTTGTGGTTGTGTGTGTTGTGGTTGTGTTTGTGGTTGCGTGTGTTGTGGTTGTGTTTGTGGTTGCGTGTTTGTGGTTGGGTGTGTGTTGTGGTTGTGTTTGTGGTTGTGTGTTTGTGGTTGCGTGTTTGTGGTTGAGTGTGTGTTGTGGTTGTGTTTGTGGTTGTGTGTTTGTGGTTG